GGTATGGTTGAACATATGGTTGGATAGGTTAAGTGTGCCTTTATTTCTGCTCTGGTTTTTAAATGATCTTAGATCTCAAATCATGTTACTCTAGTATGACTTTTGTTCTCAGAAAATAATGTGCAGCATGCATGGCAATATATCATTAGATAATATTATACTAATAATTTAGTGTTAGTATGTAAATGTTCATTTTTTAAAAAGTGCAATATCGCTATGCAGAGCTTTAACTGAACATTAAATCTCATGAGTGTAGGAGACGTTTTAACTTTTCTCTAAATACAGTAAATTCAGTAGTCTATGCTGATGTTTAATAAAAGTTTCACTGTGGTCTGACAGGGATTGTGAAAGTCTTTAGCCTATATTTTATTTAAAGGAAGATTTAATCTTAGTAGAAAGAAGAGGAGAAATTCTTTGTTTTAGACAGACAGAGAGGGAGAGAGAAAGAAAGAGGTGCCCTATAGACCCCATACGACATTGTTCTTTATCTCTTATTTCTATCCCAAATTATGACATAGACATAACTGTGCACTTCTAAAAATATGTTAGTAACTGTTAAACATGTTCTGATCCACTCCTGAAGCTATTGAATTAAAGGATGAGAGACAACAACACTAGACAGTAAATTTTCTTGACAATGAATAGGACTGAGGGTTTGCCAAAAAATAATCTGCATGCTGTCAACTGTATGAATTGGAAAGATTAATTGAATTATACCTTTTATCTCAAAATGTTATGATTATATATTTGCTTTATCTAGAGAGTAACCAACTGATATGTCTACAGATTAATACTTATTATAATTGCATTGCACTTCAAATGTTGTTTAATATAATATACATTTTCAAAACTCTAAACTCAACCCTGTCATTTGAGTAGATACAATCAATCATACATTTTGTCATTATCTCATGCTCACAGTAGGTCGGCTTTGTTTGCTGAACACTTTGTCCACCTCCCTGCCTGTTATTGTTTTGATTCTCCTGGCGGCTCCTTGGTGCTCCTTGCTGTTATATGTCTTCTGCTAAGGGCCCAAGTCATAATATATCTGCATTGTTTAAGCTTGCAACCACAATGGGTTTTAGGTTTCTGTGTCAAAATATGTGGGGGAAAAAAATGTAATCAGTAAGATACATTTGCTCAATTTCCTCACTAAATTGTGTTGAATTAAGCATAAAACATAAAAAATAAAAAAATTGTCAAGAGGGTAAGAAAAAATAAACTTTATTAAAGGTTTATTTTCTGAAAACGAATCATGAGTACTGATTAAGAAAAGTATTTATTATTATTTTTACAGTGGACTGACTGCAATCAGTGAAAGTTGATTGCAATTGATTAAGAATGTGAGACTGGTCATCAAAGTAACAATTGTTTAGCCAAATAAAATTGGTTTGCGCCACAGATGTTTTATACTGATAGTTTTCCAGAAACTGAAAGTGTTTATCAGCTGATACTGAAAGGTTGCTTGAATATGTGCTATTCTTCTCATATCTCTGCAGTTGAAAAGGCATGGCTGAACACATGATGATGCCAATGAGCCACGGCTCTGCTGGCGGAGGCCTGCATGGGTATCGCATGGGAATGAACGGCCCTTCTGTGCACGGACACCAGCCCAGTCTGCGGACCCTTCCCAATGGGCAGCTCATGCACTACAGTAGGGGGCCCCCGAGCTCCATGGAAGCGGCCATGAGGCAGAGGAATGTGATGAATGGCGTCATGAACGGTCAGGTTAACGGCCAGATAAGTGGTGGACACCCCCACCAAATGCAGCCAGCCAATATGATGTATGGAGGTCCGAATCAGCAACCGCAAGGTCACCCTCAAACCCAGCACCATCATATGCACCCGCAGAACCAACACCCACAGCAGTATATGGGTGGAGGAGGCCTTACAGCATCTCAGCAGCTTATGGCGAGCATGCATCTTCAGAAACTCAATACCCAGTACCACGGGCACCCGTACGGTCCTATGAATGGGCATCACATGGGAAATGTCCAGCACAGAATGGGTCCTGCTCAGTTAGCAAGCATGCAGATGGGGATGGGCGGGCCAACATTGGGCCTCAATGTCATGGACATAGACTTGATTGATGAGGAGGTTCTGACATCCTTGGTGTTGGAACTTGGGCTGGACCGGGTTCAAGAGCTTCCTGAGCTTTACCTCGGACAAAATGAGTTTGATTTCATCTCAGACTTTGTGTGCAAGCAGCAACCAAGCACTGTCAGCTGCTAAAATTCTGCTTCTGGTCCTTAATTCAAAGAAAGACTTGGTCATCAAGAAATATCTGGGGCAAGATGAGAAAGGCTAAAACAACCAGGTTCCCTTTATCTGTGAAGCTGTGCTATGCATGTTGTAGTGCACACGTTTTGCTTTCAATGAGGCAAAAGACTTGAGAGAACTGGGCACAAGTCTGGCTTTGGTGAGCAGGCCTTGTCTTGCCCCATTGGTCATCCTGGATTAATGGTGACTGAGTGTCCCAGGGTTGAATGTAACTTCACATGGTCGAAAATGAAGTCTGCTTGGAACTTTGCAGAAACTGCTTTGCCTCCTCAGGGGCAACTAGAATCAATAGCATTTAGAAATGTATTTATCTATGACACCTACCAAAAAGCAAACATATGATCTGTGGTGATATAGACTTGCCTTTTCTCAAACTAACCCCAAGAAAATATGTTTGAATGAGTGGGAATTGAAGGCTGGTACTTCAAAATGGGTTGATTTTTCCAGTAGCTCTTAATGATATTTGAAATGGTAAGGGGGTGTGAGGTGGTAGCGGTTGAGTATGAAACATTCTTTGTGTGCAGTGTTACACTGTCCCTTTGGTCATTTTTTTTCTACAGCTATTCAAAATTTTAAAGATGATTGCCTACGGTAAACATTTGTCACATTTAACACTTTTTTGTTGTTGCTATATCTGACTGAATTAGACCCAAAATGAGTGTCTTGCGTATAGGATATGTCTTGATGCTTTCAGGAATATTTCTGTGTTAGATAAACTTGCCTAGAAAATGGTGGAATGTTTTGTAGCCTCCCTTGCTAAATGCTGAGCCTGTGCTCCCTGCTGATAAGTCTGAACTGTAAAACTGCCTTATAGTTTTTTACACAGATACTGCTGAATATTCACTGTAGACATTCCTACCTTGTTCCATGGAATGAGGAAGAAACTGCTGTCTTTATATGATTCAAAAGGTGGTTTCCTGTTTGCTCATATGCTCCTTATTGCAGTTAACATGGAACATGGACCACAATATTCATTAAGCCACATGCTGCATAAAGAATTAAACCTTCCACTTGTTTCTAAATTAACCTGAATGTCAATTGTTCAACTATTGTTCGAAACAACCACTAACCACAGCACTGGTTTCCTGATGTTCGTTAAAGCCAACCTTACAAACCAGCACAAAATGTTGTTTCCCTCTTCGCTGCCCGAACACTGCAGGTTTAAACTTGACTATATTTAAATTACACTTACAACCTTCTTAATTGAGATCAGAATGGTCTGTCATCTCAGATGGCCTGATAATTACAAAATGGACATGTTCATTTGCTTGCTATCGCTCAGGGTGTAATGAAGAGTAGGGAACGGCTGCCCTGCTGGGTTTGAGAACTTCCTGTGTCGTTATGTTGGTAGTTCTTGTGTTAAATGCTGTGGGGGTTGGGTTGGTATGGAAATAGCACAGCATACAGTAGTAGTAGGTTAATCTGTTCCACCAGAGCTGGGCTCAACTCCCTCGGCTTTACCCGCCCTGGCTTGGGTAATTGCTGTACGTACAGCTTGGGATTGTGAACAGTTGTCACCAAATAAAAAAAGCACAAGCAAGAAAAGACAGAACCTAATGGGTCATATTCTGTGTTTTACAACTCCAACTTGGCTGATTGTTTAAGTCTTTGATGCATACGAAATGGGAAATTCAGTTTCAGACTTCAATTTTGTCAGCTGTATTTCTTGTATCTGTAGAGACTGGAATGTCTTCCCTAGTATGCTTTTTCTGTAATTTGAGTCTTGGATAATTATAGACAAACCACGTCTAGCAACAGAAAAATCTAATGATTTGTAGATTATTATTTGCTGATTTAATGATGTTTCACATTCCCAGCGATCCAGTCTTATTTTATTTTTATTTTTTTGTTAAAGGGAGGGAATATGTCAATTTCAACCTAAAGCTACTTGAGGCTGTCAGTCTGTATATCGTAAATCACAAACCACCCCGCAGAATGTTCCCTGCAGGTGAGATTATATGTTCTCTTCCAAACTGTGTGCTGTCATGAACTGTCGCCATGCCCCCACAAATGCTTTTTGTAAATGTTGTTGATTCTATCTTAAGAAAATGTATTTATTTTCATTGAAAATAAAATATTTATTTAAAGAAGTGGTTTCATTGAGTGTCATTGTATGTGTAATTTAATTTTGATGGTGACAAACTGACAGTCACAAGATTTGCTGGTACAAATTCACAGTTTCTGAGCAGACTGGTTTTTTTTTTCTCTCTCAGTGAATATTCATATCAGTACAGAATTGTACACAATAACTGGAAAAAGGCGATGGTTAAAACATAAAATGGAAAAGATATGTATATTTCATAAATACTCTCAAGATATTAGATTCTAAATGGAACCGGAACAGATCAAAAGCAGAGACAGTATATGAGATAGGCCACCTTTAAAAAGAAAAAAAGTAGATATTTAAGCAACCAACATCTCTGCTGAAAAATTCAGCATTGCTCGTTACCAGCATTAGCTGGTTTCTGGTTTGCTGGACCAGCTCCATCAGCTCATTTTTTGTTTGAGAACAGCAGAACTATGCAAGACCAGCACAATACCGCATCTAAATAGAATAAACCAGCTGGACCAACATGGAATTCATGCTAATTTATGCTGGATTTTTCAGCAAGGATGGCGGCAGGTAGAAAGTTCCATCGTTCAATGTGAAAAGCAAACTTCAACTGTTTACAAACAAGACAACAATCTGGCAAGAATCAAACCTGTTAGTAAATATAATTGTCAATCCCAAACATTATGACTGTGTAAATGTTTCCTGTTAAATTATTGCACAATTTCCATATTAAAATAATCCTCACCATTCTCAGTACTTAAATCAATAGAAAACATTGAAATTATAAGGCAGGCACCATCTGTTTTATTTAAGACATCAAGAAATTGAAAATTGTTCAAGTGTTTTGCATTATTTTCATCTTTCCGTGTGTCTTATTTACAGGTCCTCTTTAGATTTTAGAGCATTTCTGTTATCCGATAGTGGATGTTCCCATAGCCGATGATCTAATCTGTCTTACTCAGTGGGATCAGGTCTGAGCGTCTCATCTGACGGACAATTGCTCACAGTCTGTTGCTTTGTTCTGTCTCAAACACACTAGACTTACATAAAATCCATAAAACAGGGATGGGCCTAAACCTGTTACCAGACAGTGGATATGGACAGTGCGTACTGTACTATAATATTCACCAAACCAATATTAGCCAGTGCTTTTCTACATTACTCTGCATTCATATTAAAACAGGACATCTTGTAACAATAAACACCTAAATCCATATGTATAAAGTGGATATTTATCAGTGCTATGTATCACTGAATGATTGCATATCCACACTGCATGTTAATCAAATCGCAGTCTCCAGTCACAGCCATGAAATGTCACTGTCTGGCACCTTCCTCAAACCAGACTCATCTATAACAGAGTAAGTATTTTAGCCTGAGCTCTGTGAATTTAGATATGACTGAAATTAAGATTAGATAGCCATTTGATAGCATGTTAAAGCAACTGTTACTGTATAATATATGCATTTAGTAAGCAGTCCTTTAGCAGACACTTACACGCTGATCGATTGCTCCTGTCTGCCTTGCTGCTGGTTTGCATCTTTATGCTCCGTATAGCTTTCTGCTTTGAATCTCTATTTACTATCATTCCTTTTGTTTATATTGTTAAATATAACTTACTCATCAACATATATTAGATATTGTCTAATATTGCCTATCACATTAATCTGACATCGCTAGCTTTTATCTAAATCGTTATCGCCAGCACAACACGCTAGTATCTCACTAGCATGTTAACCTGCCATCCGTGCTTGCCGTCTCGTGCATGGCTTTACAGAGCCGTACATCAATGACAAGCTGCGCATAAAAACTAATCGCAGCCTTTGCGATTACAAAATCGCGATAAGCCAAATCGGTTTAATGTGTGATTACATGGAAATTGCGATTAATCGTTAAGCCCTAATTTAGAGACATCCTGAACTCTATTGGAGTTAGACAACACGTGTCAGGACCCACTCATTGTCATAATCATACTTTAGATCTAATATTGTCACATGGAATCAATGTTAATGCCGTTGAAATTCTGCAGCAGAGCGATGACATCCCAGAACATTATCTAGTCTCGTGTATACTCCATTTAGCCAAGGTTGCAAAGCCGACTCCGTGTTACAATTATGTTAGAACTATCACTTATGCCACTAAAGATTGCTTTATTAATAATATTCCTGATCAGTTTCATCTCCTCAGCATCCCAGATACCTTAGAAGAACTCGATATTGCGACAGAAACTTTTGACTCTCTCTTTCCCAGCACACTCGGGCCCTTAAGAGAGCAACCAGAAAAATGGATCGCAACTGGAAGAAAACAAAACTAGACGTTTTTCTTATTTCGTGGAGGGAGAGCACGATTGCATACAGAAAAGCCTTAAAAACTGCCAGATCTGCTTATTTTTCGACTCTCTTAGAAGAAAACAAACACAACCCTAGGTATTTATTTCACACAGTGGCTAAATTAACAAGAAATAAAGCTTCTACTTCTGAAGTTTCCAAAAAGTTTCCTAACTTCTTTACTTACAAAATTGATAATATTAGAGAGAAAATTATAACTATGCAACCATCTACTACAGTATCGCATCAGGCAGTGCATTGTAGTGTCCCTGAGGAAAAATTCCATTCATTCGTTGCAATAGGAGAGTAAGAATTGTCTAAACTCGTTAAATCATCTAAATCAACAACATGTATGTTAGACCCTATATATTTTAGACTAAGCTACTGAAAGAAATGCTTGCAGAGGTCATAGATCCTCTTCTTAATATCATTAATTCATCTTTGTAACTAGTGTACCAAAAACTTTTAAGCTGGCTATTATTAAACCTTTTATTAAAAAAACGCAACTTGATCCTAGAGAATTAGTCAATTACAGGCCGATCTCAAATCTACCTTTTTTGTCAAATATACTAGAAAAAGCAGTATCCTCACCACTATGTTCCTTTTTTAGAAAGAATTGGTATCTGCAAGGATTTCCAGGTAGGATTTAGACTGAGTACTGAGACTGCTTTAATTGGAGTTACAAATTATTTGCTCTTATCATCCGATCGTGGTTGTATCTCTCTA